CCCCCTCCTATTGCATTGTTCTTGAACGTCATATAGACAGTAAGATCTCTCAACTTCTAAATTGCTCTTGTATGCCATTACAGATTATAACTTTTCCACTTTCTCTATTGCTCCCTTGTGCCCTAACAGACTGTATGCTTTTCCACCTTCTACAGTATATTAATTGCTCACTTATGCTTTAGCAGACTGTATGTTGTAACACTTTCTATCATTCTTACTCATACTCTGATTTTTAAAGCTTGTCGGTATTCTTAAAGAAACCACTGAAAGGAATAACATGCAGGCACTTTTACACTCTGAGCAGTCTGTACCCAGGTATTAGCATTAATCAGATGGTAAATCACATAAATTGACAAATCAGAGCCAAGAGCATAATCTGGAAAAAGAGACAAATAGAAAATATCAGAATACATTGGTACCTATAACTTATAAACATAAATTCTGCATAATAGGATATAGTAAAGGGTATAGTGATAATGGTTGTCACCATTGCCAGGGTATAAATTGCTTGGTGCAGTCATAGGCCATCATTTAATTAGAGAAAGATGTACCCTTTAGGTTACAGGTACACTTGTTGCATTGTGTAAACTGGTGCATACCCTGCGGAAAGGAAGACGCACAGTACAGGGGAATGCAGAAGGGGGAAGAGAGAAGCATTACAAGGGATAATGTTGTATTTGATGGGGGGAGCATTACAAGGGATTGTGTTGTAGGTAAAGGAGAGAAGTAGTACAAGGGATTATGTTGTAGGTGAATGAGAGCAGCTATATAATGGTGATTGTAGGTTAAGGAGAGAGAAAAGCAATACAAAGGATGATGTTGTAGGTGGAGAGGAGCATTACAAAGGATGATGTAGGTGAATGAGAGGAGCATTACAAAGGATGATGTAGGTGAATGAGAGGAGCATTACAAGGATTGATATTGTAGGTGTAGGGGAAGAGCAATACAATAGATAATGTTGTAGGTGTAGAGGAGCAATACCATGGGTGGTGTTATAGGTAAAGGAGAGTGAGAAGCAATATAATCGGTGATGTTATAGATAAAGGAGAGATAGGAGCAATACAAGGGACTGTGTTGTAGATGGAGAGGAGCAAAACATTGGGTTATGTTATAGCTAAAGGTGAGAGAGAGAAGCAATACAAGGGATGGTATTGTAGACGGAGAAGAGCAATACATTGGGTTATGTTCTAGCTAAAGGAAAGAGAGAGAGAGCAGCAATACAAGGGATGGTGTTGAAGGTGGAGAGGAGCAATACATTGGGTTATGTTATAGCTAAAGGAGAGAGAGTGAGAGAGCAACAATACAAGGGATGGTGTTATAGGTGGAGAGGAGCAATACATTGGGTTATGTTATAGCTAAAGGAGAGAGAGAGACAGAACAACTTGGAGAGGAGCAATACATTGGGTTATGTTATAGCTAAAGGAGAGAGAGTGAGAGAGCAACAATACAAGGGATGGTGTTATAGGTGGAGAGGAGCAATACATTGGGTTATGTTATAGCTAAAGGAGAGAGAGAGCAGCAATACAAGGGATGGTGTTGTAGGGGGAGAGGAGCAATACATTGGGTTATGTTATAGCTAAAGGAGAGAGAGAGCAGCAATACAAGGGATGGTGTTGTAGGGGGAGAGGAGCAATACATTGGGTTATGTTATAGCTGAGAGAGGGAAAAGCCATACAGGGGAGGGTGTTGAAGGGGGAGAGGAGCAATACATTGGGTTATGTTATAGCTAAAGGAGAGAGGGAAGCAATAAAAGGGACGGTGTTGTAGGTGGAGAGGAGCAATACATTGGGTTATGTTATAGCTAAAGGAGAGAGGGAAGCAATAAAAGGGACGGTGTTGTAGGTGGATAGGAGCAATACATTGGGTTATGTTATAGCTAAAGGAGAGAGGGAAGCAATAAAAGGGACGGTGTTGTAGGTGGATAGGAGCAATACATTGGGTTATGTTATAGCTAAAGGAGAGAGGGAAGCAATAAAAGGGACGGTGTTGTAGGTGGATAGGAGCAATACATTGGGTTATGTTATAGCTAAAGGAGAGAGGGAAGCAATAAAAGGGACGGTGTTGTAGGTGGATAGGAGCAATACATTGGGTTATTTTATAGCAGAGAGAGAGAGAGAGGGAAAAGCAATACAGGGGATGGTGTTGTACGTGGAGATGAGCAATACTACAGTGTGCAACTATCCACTTTTTCTGCAACATTATAAGTATTTATGTTGTAGGTTAAGGAGAGGAGCAATACAAGCAATGGATGATGTTGTAGATGAAGGAGAGGAGCAACATAATGGATGATGTTGTATGTGCAGGAGAGGAGCAACACAATGGACGATGTAAGTGAAAGATAGCAGCAATACAAGAAATGATGTGGAGAAGAGAAGGATACGCTCCGGGGGTAAGGCGAGTCATCTCTCAAAAAAGGTAACGGTGGAGAGGTGCACCACTGGGGGGTATTGGATGAGAAGAGGAGGTGCAGAACAGGGCACTGGTGGTGAATGAGAGGAGCTGTACAGAGGTTAACTGGAGGTTAACTGTAGAGATGGATGTAAGGAGCAGTATGAAGGTGTGCTTGAGGCAAACAGGAGAAGCAGTGCAAGGGGATGCTGGGGAAGGTGAATGAGAGAAGCAGTTTTGGGGGAAAGGGGCACTGGAGGTGGACAGGAGAAGCAGTACATAGGGACACAGGAGATGGGCAAGAGGAGCAGTATGGTGGTGTGGAAAAAAAGGAGCCCACATTTGCAAAGACAAAAAAACACAAACTATATTTCTGCTGCTGAACTGATTTTGGTATTGAGGATTATGAGCACTATTTTGTTAAATGTTCCTCGATCTGTTCTGTGATGAATGAAGCAGGAAGGACTTCGCTCTTAGCACTTCCTACTTCAGAGATGTAAAAATCTGGCGGAAGTGCCAGGTAAACAGATGATCAAGCACATTCTTTTGTTTGATCATCTGTATTGGAACACAGGGGTGACATCAAGAGTCTAATAGACCAGTGCCTTCCCCATAAAAAGAACCTGTGCCCTTCAAATACTGTCATATGGCTTGTTAGCCCCTTGATTATAGCTAAAGTTAAGTGAATTTTATTTTATTTTTTTTTTAAAGTCATAAGTAAAAAATACCGTATATACTCGAGTATAAGCCGAGGTACCTAATTTTACCAAAAAAAACTGGTAAAAAGTATTGACCCGAATATAAGCCGAGGGTGGGAAATGAGGCAGCTACTGGTAGATAGATACCAATAAAATGACATTAATATTTATTTAAAAGAAAAATAACCTAGCTCTGTAAGTGGAAAAGGGGGTACAGGGCTACATACAGATCATTTAATACATTCATGTTAGTATAAGTGTAAATGTATTGTCTGCACTGTATTAGCAGTATATACTCTATATGTAGTATATAGTACATGTACATATAGAGTGCCTGCAACAATACATTTACAATGATCCTCTGCTAACATGAATGGGTTAAATGATCCATAGTACAGGGCTACATACAGATCATTTAATACATTCATGTTAGTATAAGTGTAAATGTATTGTCTGCACTGTATTAGCAGTATATACTCTATATGTAGTATATAGTACATGTACATATAGAGTGCCTGCAACAATACATTTACAATGATCCTCTGCTAACATGAATGGGTTAAATGATCCATAGTACAGGGCTACATACAGATCATTTAATACATTCATGTTAGTATAAGTGTAAATGTATTGTCTGCACTGTATTAGCAGTATATACTCTATATGTAGTATATAGTACATGTACATATAGAGTGCCTGCAACAATACATTTACAATGATCCTCTGCTAACATGAATGGGTTAAATGATCCATAGTACAGGGCTACATACAGATCATTTAATACATTCATGTTAGTATAAGTGTAAATGTATTGTCTGCACTGTATTAGCAGTATATACTACATATAGAGTATATACTGCTAATACAGTGCAGACAATACATTTACACTTATACTAACATGAATGTATTAAATGATCTGTATGTAGCCCTGTACCCCCTTTTCCACTTACAGAGCTAGGTTATTTTTCTTTTAAATAAATATTAATGTCATTTTATTGGTATCTATCTACCAGTAGCTGCCTCATTTCCCACCCTCGGCTTATATTCGGGTCAATACTTTTTACCAGTTTTTTTTGGTAAAATTAGGTACCTCGGCTTATACTCGAGTATATACGGTAAATAATAATAAAAAATGTAAACCAACCCTGCTGCCCCTGACAACTGATTTGAATGAACACGTGCATGTAAGTTATGCACATGTATGTAAACGGGGAGCTCTAACAAGAAAATTAAAACAATAAACAGTGCGATGCGCTTGGATCAGCGCAGCAGCACTGTGCCTGGGAACACATACCAGCAGCTGTGCGTTATGGTGCAGCTGCTGGTGTAAATGCAGCCTAAATGGCGGACCACGGTATGGACATGGACCATTCTGTCCGGACTGTGATT